TTCCCCACAAGTTCCAAGAGCACTCCCTAATAAGCTTCCTGCAAGGAAATTTAGTCTCAGAGACTTCTTTCTGGGAAACTTGACCTCTAACACAACATATTTGTTAATTTTAAAACTCTTGCCTCACCACAGCTAGAATGATGTCAAATCTCCTCTATTTTTTCTTCCTCAAGCCTATATTAGTACCATATTAGCATATTAAGACCAGAGGGCCTCATGTAGAAATTAATTCCTGCTGTTAAGACTTAGTGCAGTTGTGTGGACAATAGAACAGTAAAGTCTGGATTCCACACAACTTTTCATAGAAGTAGCTTAACCTCTTAACCTTCGTGCTCCCTTACCTTCCACTCCTAGTTGACACAGATATTTCCTTGTCAAACCTACAGACACAATGACCCGAACTTGCGGAATGGAAAGAAAAGAATGACACACTGACATATCTTAGAAATAATTATCCTCCTTCATATTTACAGAGGTATAATTTTAAAATTCATTTGTTGCTTTGATTTCTAGAGTACCTTGGCTCCAAAGATTTGAAACTCAAAAGAAGCTTTTAACTTTCCCTTTTTCTATTCTCTACGTTTCTCCATGTGAAAGCACTGCACTTAGGAGTGTGAGTCAGATACACCCCACTTCCTGTTTTGTTTTTCTCTGCTTAGAAAACCAGACACTTTCAGAAAGGTGAAATAAATAGGGCTGTTCCAAAGTCAATTGTGAAATCAAGTTCGTGCATAGGAGCCTCTTTCCTTTTGTGGCTTCTCTTCCCCCAACCCTGGGGCCTCTTCAGCCCTGTACCAGCCACCTGTCCATTCCTCTCCACTACGCTCCTCTTCTTTACCCAGTGTGCCCTGTTCTGCTGTTCTCTGTTCATGACTCAGAACCAGTCTGCTGGCTTCCATGCTGCCTGCTGTCACTACAGCTGAAGTGTCTCTGTTCCACAGCTCATCGCCTAAGGCCAACTTTGCTCTCTTGGGAGGCAAATTTGCCTAGCACCCTTTTAGTTGATTTCTAAATATTTACTCATAAATGAATGAATGAGTATATGAATAAACTGCTCTCTCTTAATACACCTCTTAGCACCATCCTACCCTCACCCTCCCAAGCTGCATGTGTAATAATAGAGGCCTGATAAAGACAGCATGCCTCCCTTTATAGCATGGCCAAACTAGGAGAGTTGGGAGAGGAACCCAGGAGGAATTGGTGGTTACAGTATTCTATTAACTACAAGCTTCTGATGTTTTGACATCTGGGGCCTTGCTGACCCTGGAGAGATTGTTCCTCCCAGGGCTAACCATTCCTAGAGATAAACAACTCACCTGCTAGAGCGTTTTTCTTAGGAGAACCCAACCAATCCAGAGCCCACCCCAACCACCTCCTTTACTGAGTTCTCACAGGGCTCTCACACTTTGGGCCACTATCCACCTGCCCTACGCACCCCAGAGCCAGGTCCCAGACAACTCAGGACAGCTCTTAGGCCTTAGAGCCTGCTGAAATCATCCAAACTAGCCAACCTTGCTTACCCTGCCTTGCCTGCTCCTTCCCACAGAAACCACAATAAAGAATCTGCCCCTAAGACCGACCGAGTGGCACGTTGGTTAAGAGCTGGCTTGGGATGCCACAGGGCCATGGTTCGGATCCCACATATGAGGGCCAGTGACACTGCCCTCCACAGCTAAGATGCTGAACAACAGCTCAACCTGGAGCTGGGCTGCCGTGAGTCGCCGGCGACGGCGTAGGCTGCAGCCCCTGTGGCAGTGGGTTGCCATGGGCTACCGTGTGTAGCCAGCAGCCAGCGTGAGCGGCCAGCAGCCGCAGTGAGCGGCCGTCCAGAAGCCGGCGACTGATCTGCCTAGCCCGGGAAGAGCGCAATGATGGTGCCAACTTGGGCCAGTGAAGCAACGTCCTCCACAACTAGACTGAAGAACAAAACAACAGCGACTTGTCTGTTCCCCTTCCCCCAATTCCCCCCCCAAAAAAATAACCTCTAAAATTAAAAAAAGGATCTGCCCCTAATTTTCCCTTGGTCCTTCTGCCTCCTGACCACCCCTGGCACTTCCCTCTGTGGCCCTGTATGGCATGGCAGTTCCCTCCTACTGGGAACTGTAACATACTGTCTTTTCAATGGCAATAGCCTCCTGATCTGTTGGCCTTGCCACACCTGAATAATAATAAAACCTACATTTTAAAACTTAAATACTTCTGTAATCTCAAGAATGAGGTTTCCCATGCTACTTCTTTTAAGATCTGGAAGGAAGTCCCTCCCTTTCCATAAGTTCTGACAATTGGAGAAATGACTTTTACTCAGAGAAGGCAGTATGGTATTAAATAAAGAAAATGAAAGTAATGACAGACTTGACTTAATATGTATTATCACCTTGGGGTCTCAAAAAATCCTATGAATTATTGTTTTATCCTCAGAAAACTGAAGTTCAAAGATAGAAAGTGGTTTTCTCAAGGTCACAGAGCCACACACACGGAAAAGGTGAGACAGGCAGAGACCTTCCTGGCATCCCTCTGACTCATGCCCTGTCCCCACTCCTTCCTTCCATCAGCACCTTCCAAATCTTCCAAAACCTTTTACAAAGTTCTCTTGTACAGCATCATCATTTCCTCCATACTTTAAAGAAAAAGTGTGGCAGTCTTTCCAACTAGGGCCAGTAAATGATTCAACAATAAAAAATAGTGGAGAGATAGATAGATAGATAGATAGATAGATAGATAGATAGATGATAGATAGATAGATATTTCAACGATAATACAACCTTGGGGAAATGAATATGGAGTTTTAACTTTATTGAAAGACAGAAAATCTAGAAATTACAGAAATTTATAATATTAAGTCTGATATTTAATGTATTTAATGTAGGAATTAAAACATTTAGAAATCACCTTTTTTTTTATGGAATTTCACTCTGGTCATGATTCCCCAGAGCTACAAAGAATAGAATTGGCTATGAAGAAGGCAGGAAAAAAATATCTTGCAGTTTTGAAAAATACATACACTGAGAAGGAACACTTAAATTCAATACTGTAAAGATAAAAATAAGCACACAAAAGACAATATATGGTAAAATTATTATTGAATGGCATCAAGCAGCAAAATACAGTGTAAAGATGTTAAGAACTGTGTGGTCAGCGTTGACCATCGTTACTGATGGGAACACTTCAAGTAAAATATTTGAAAAGCTCACCCAGTATTGAACAAAATATAACTCATGGAAATGTATTCATTAGTATTTACTAGATTTCTACAATACGCAGTTTGGAATGTCACTATTTGAAACACGAAAGAGGAAAAGTTGAGAAAGAAAAATAACAAAGTGAATCAAATGACTTGGAAATAAAAAAAAATATTGGTGAAATGGGTTGTGAATGAGAAGAAAAGGCTGGATAAGAGGGTTTAAGAGCAAGCAGCATGGGGTTGAAGCTGCTCTTTGGAGATGGTGATTGGCAGCTGTTAAGAATTTCCATGGAATGTGGGTAAGAAGAAGCAAGCTTGTATGGCTGGGGGACCCCAGCTGGATATCAGGAAGAATTTCCTGACTGTAAAATGTCAAGAGCTCCGGTTTACAGGATCAAAGGGAGGCTTCTGGGATGTGCCTGTCCTTGGAGTATTTTCAGTCTCAAGCAAGAGACTGTTTAGGTGGTTTCCTCAGCCCTGGAGATGGACTGGATGGCCTCCTTAGAATCCATCAGTCTCATGTTGCTGAGAGGCGTGTCGTACACACTGCTGCTTTCACAGTGCCCTTGCCAGCTGCTGACTCCCAGCTCAGGGGCTGTGGAGTTTTCCCCACAGAAAGGAACAACTAAGCCTTTCACTCTCTGACCAGTCCTTAGGTGTACACTGTGGTTTTTTTAGCTCTTCAGCACTTAGATGCTTTTCTTCTGAGCCAAGGGCCTTCTGGGAACAATGTAGCATCTGTGTGTTGATAGTAACAGCCTGTGAGCCAGAGACACTCAGTCAAACTCTCCCTCCCGCGTGGGCTGGACTGCACACCTCACCTGCAATAATATACGCGCTTAGTCAGCGCTAGCGGCCCCTCCAGCTGCTTCTTCCCCAACCTATTACCTGATTTGATTAGGAGCTCCTAGGCCACATTTATCCTAATCCTCATGCCCGATGGTCTCTGCCCACCTCCCATCCCACCCACAGAGTGAACAATAACACATTAGTGGTTCATTGGCCTGAAACTAAACAGTTGGCACTGAAGGGCGAGGTACATATTGCTTAGCTGGGCAGCTGGGTATTTACAAAAGGTTTGGCCTGCAAAGAGATGCCAGTCTTTTGCTATAACATGATTGCCTTTTATTTATTATGTGGTTGTTGATTTACATGGGGAGTTAGGAACGCTAAACAAGCATAGAATTTTTACATGGTCTGTTTCCACTGAGTTCAGAAACTTGGGAACATCATTTGACTTCTGGCAAAAAGACATTTCCAGAAAGGTGTTTAAAACCATCTTTTTGTTCTTGGCCCTGAGTCAGAGATGGGGACGTGAAATTATGAGGAAACTAGGGTTTCAACCCTAAGTAACCCTAACAGAGAAGAAACTATGTTGTGTTGTAAGTCATGTGTAGAGTACAAATTCAATGTTAATAGAAAAATCAGAACAAATCTCCCTCGAGGCATGTCTCTCCTTCATAGTGGTATTACAATATTTCTTCTAAAACCTTCATCCAATGGCCTTACAGTGGTGCTGTAGTCTATGGGCCTGCATGGTATGAATGCAAAAGAGAAAACTGGATGGGTAGTGAGAGAGTATAGGAAAATTAAAAGACAGGACAAAAAGAGTAAATTAAAATTTAAGGAACAAAATGGAGGTGTGTGTGTGTGTGTGTGTGTGTGTGTGTGTGTGTGTGTGTAGGGCCTGGTGATGCTGCTGTTTAGTGTCTCTGAGTTTTGAGTTGCCTCTCTTTATTCAGCATAAAGTAGATACTTGGTGATATGCAGGAGTATCAGGGAGACATCAGAGTTCCACTTTTGGAGTATCTGGGAGACATCAGAGTTCCACTTTTGGAGTCTTTTCTTCTGATTCATGATTTTCTCTCTGGAAAACATCATGACACTGATATTTAGATTGGAGTGCACTCTTGTTTTGAGTCCTGAGATTAACAAACTGAGCTATTTAGTTACCCCTGGAGGTCCTAAATATACTGGCAATTTTTATCTCAGTATAAAATTTGAAAATTTTTATCTCAGTATAAAATTTGAAAATTTTCAAAAAAATTTGAAAATTTTTATTTCAAAAAAATAAATTTATTTATTTGAACTCTATATGGAATTTGATTTGTTTCTCATTGTTATTGTACACAGAATGGTAAAATCCAAAATTCAGCTCTTTTGACTGGGCAAGACTTTCCAAAAAACCTTCGGTAGTTCTATTCCCACGACTTATCCTAGCAGGCATCCAGCCGGACCACCATATCCACATATACCTTTGCTCTTAATCAAATCCAGTGGAGCCCAAAGAATTTTTATTCCATGGGAAAGACAAGACACAGAGAGAGGAAGAAAGCTCGACCTGTTTTCCCTGTAGTCTCACACTTACCGGCCATTTCCCTTCTAAGAATCCATCACAGAAGTTTTGCACGCGCTCTACTGAAACTTCTGCCGTGGGCAGTGTGTCCCACTCGTCATCAACAGCCTGGTAAATTGCTAAAGCGGGCAGTTGAGACTCCTTTAGTTTGAAAAACGATATCACCTTCCCATTTTCCTTCACGCCACTGTCCACCAGAATAAAGAGAATCTGCAGTTGGGGAAGTTTGAAAGAGAAAGATCTATCTGAGGTCCTGGGGGGAGAGAGATACCTTGTAATTGTGGCAGATGGCACTGACTGAAATTTGTGCCACACAATTTAAATCTCAATTGAATTAGAATGAATTTGTCCACACTTTGCGTTGCTTAAGAATTTTATCGCTTTGATCAGGTTGATTTAATTTTTTTTATTAGTTTCAGGTGTACAAAACAATATAGTGATTAGACATGTATATGCCTCACAAAGTGACAACCCCAATAAGTCTATTACCCACCTGACACTGTTCATAGTTATTAGAATATTATTGACTGTATTTCTTATGTTGTACTATATATCCCAGTGACTGTTTTTTAATTATAGTTGACATCCAATATTATTTTATATTAGTTTCAGGTGTACAGCATAGTGGTTAGAAATTGATGTAATTTATGAAGTGATGCCCCCTATCAGTCTAGAACCCATCTGACACCATACCTAGTTTTACAACATTATTGACTATCTTCCTCGTACTGTATTTTACATTCCCATGACTCTTTTGTAACTGCCAATTTGTACCTCCTAACCCCTTCACCTTTCTCACCCAGCCCCCAACCCCCTCCCCCGTCAGCACACACCACCACCACACACACACCTAGTAACCATCAGTTTGTTCTCTGTATCTATGGGTCTATTTCTGTTTTGTTTGTTCATCTATTTTGTTCTTTAGATTCCACATATACATGAGATCATATGGTGTTTATCTTTCTCAGTCTGACTTCTTTCACTTAGCATAATACCCTCTAGATCCATCCGTATTGTCACAAATGGTAAGATTTCATTCTTTTTTTATGGCCGAGTAAGATATATGCACCCCTATGTTTACTGCAGTGCTATTTGCAATAGCTAAGATATGGAAACAACCAAAATGCCCATCAACAGATGATTGGATAAAGAAACTGTGGTACATATACACAATGGAATATGAGGTTGATTTAATTTTAAGAACATAGAATTAGAAGAGACTTTAGTGATTAACTAAGGGAGAAAGTAATGATTAAAAGGGAAGAGTGAGTTTTGAATTTTGCCTTGAGTGCTTTCTAGCTGTGTGACTGAGCACAGTACTCAGCCTCGCTGAGGCTCAGTGCTCTCATGAGCAAAAGGAGCTTTTGCTGGGGGAGATTCAATGAGAAAAGGTATTGAGTGAAGTTTTTGGCATATAGTGAGTGCTTGATAAATGTTAACTATTATATATGATTAAGTCAAACCTCTACCCAAAGTAGAAATCTTTTCTGATGTTCTGATTAGAGGATCAACTACATTGGCTAACACTGAAAACTTCCAGTGTTAGGGAAACAACTACCAGAAGTCAGCTTATTTTATCACCATTGAATAAATCTCTTAGTTCAAAGCAGTAACCTTGAAGTGGTGGAAGTTTAACAAGTTCAGTGATACCAAGCAGAACTGCACGAAGTCGGGAAGGGAAAGAAATATTTATTGGTCGCCCAGTAGGCATCGCGTATGTCATAGGTGTTTGATATGAGAAATAAGCTCTGAGGTCTAAAACTTTAAGAGATATGGCAAGGAGAAAACAAATTGTGGATGACAAGTGATTTTTGTTTTCAGTATCTTTGAGTCTCTATTTTTGCTCTACTTTTCAACACAGAAAAAAAGAAGTAGACGTACCACTAATGGAAGATATGATTATACAGGTCTTTGTTAGTACAAAATACCTTATCTTTAATTTTAAATCAGAGTAGTGTGATTTATTATGTCCCAGTTCTTACTTTATTTTTTAAGCATACTTGTTTTCCTTATTTACCTCACTTCCCTGACCCCATATCTTTTTTCTAGTGTCCTGGTGCTGAATTTTCAAAAGGGTGTCTCCCATGCCAGACTTACCTTCCCCTGGAAGAGCTTAGCTGCCTCCTGGTACCTGAGCATGCTTTCTTCATACTCCAGGGAGGCCTTGTTCATTATCAGGAGAAGATGAATCTGAATCATGCTGTTAAATAAGCCAATCACAGTCTGGAAAATCGAAATGCATAATGGTAGAATGAAAGACAGAGGGAGAAAAAAACAACAACACAACAAAACAGCTCATCAGTGGCAACCCAGCGAATAGGTAGACTGAAACATAAATGAGAGCTGTCCATCAATAACACCAATGGTATCTAGCCTCCAAGATGGCTCTTGGTAAGGCTCACCCTCTGTTTTTCATGCAATGGTGTACATCCCTTTTACCCACACTGAATAAGGCTGAGTTGAGTAACCAGGGGGATGTTGCAGAAATGATGGAGTGTGACTTGCAAGGGTTAAATCATTAAAGACATAGTGGTTTCTGCCTTGCTTTTATATCACTCACTCTGGGGAAAGCCAGCCCCAATGTTAGGTGCTCAAGAAGCCCTATGGAGAGATTCACATGGCAAAGAACTAAGGCCTCCGACTAACAGCCAGTCATGTGACTGAGCCATCTTGGAAGCCTCCAGCCCCAGTCACATCTTCAGATGACATTGTCTCCCTGATCAATGACTGCAACCTCACAAGAGGCCCTAGATTAGAAGCACCTAGCCTAGCCACTCCCAAATTGTTGACTCACAAAAACTGTATGAGATAATCATTTTTTACTGTTTTAAGATGCTAAATTTTGGGGTAATCTGATATGTATCAATAGATAGAAAATATACTATGTAATATATTAGTCACTTTTTTCAATTCCTTCTATGTTGCAAGAGCAGTCAGATACATTTGAAATGTGGCTCTTGACTACATATTAGTAGGGCATGATTTTGAGTGCTTAGTATCTACCAGGCACTGTTTTCAGGTCTCTACATATATAGTATCTAATTTAATCCTCAAAGTTCCAGTTTTATAAATGATAAAATTGAGGCACAGACTCTCCCAAAGTCACCTAAGTGATTGACTGGGATTCATACCAGGCAGTTGGGCTCCAGAGTCCATGCTCTTAACCATCAGGATGTGTTGCCTCATACACTGCTGATTCAAAAACCCTGTCTAAACCAGTTCAAACCTAAATGTGGTTGAACCAGTCTGTCTTGGGTCAGCAATAAGATAAGCTCTTCAGGAGACCAGAAACATTGGCTTTTTTTTTCTTCTGATTAGAGATGGTGATTCTGTGATTCCCCATGAAGCTGTCAGTGATGGAGGGGAGTGGGATAGCCATGAGCTGGAGTGAGAAGAGGAGAAAGTGACTGAAACTGTGGCACTGGTTCCCTTCATTCCTTTTTCCTGAAACAGTGCTGCAAATGTCTATTTTAAACAAATCCCATTCCTTTCCACCTCTCTGTTCTAAATACAGAAAACATTGCTAAAGGGCCGGCTGAGTGGCTCAGTTGGTTAAGAGCTCACTCAAGAGTGCATGCTCTGAGCAACAGGGTCTCTGGTTCGATTCCCGGCCTGAGCTGAGCTACCGCTGAGCTGCCAACAGGTGGCAGGATAGCTCAGCTAAAAAAAAAAAAAAGAAAAGAAAAGAAAGAAAACATTGCTATAAACTAACATGTGTACAGGAAAAGAGGGTATGGTGGGTTAACGAACCACTGGGCAGAGTCCCTGGATGGTGGGAAGGGGAGCAACTAAGCAGGATTCTTCCAGAAGCTACACACTGCTCTGTAGGTTTATTGGCCAACATGTAGTCAAGGAGAGCTCAATGGGTTCTTTCCAAAAAGTTTCTAGCTAGAGTTTAAAACCAGTTCTTAGATTATAAAGTTGAGAGATTAGATGTTAAGTGATTGTCTCTTGTCTAACTAGATTCCATTACTTCAATTTAGAATATGCATCTACCCTCCTAGAACAGACATGGAAAATAATTCTTGGGAATAGTCAAGAAATGAAAGCTAGGGAGTCAGAAGGAGCAGTTGTCTTAGCAGAAGGGGTTGGGCATGCAAAAGAGGTTAGTTTATTTCTAATAGACACAGCTGGTTTTTCACCTTGAAACCAAGTAGTGAGTGTGTGCGTTAGGCCAAATATTATACATGGCTGTGAGCTTCTGCCCAGTTGCTACTGGTGTAAGCTTTTGAACCAGAAGCTGATGAGAAATAGTGGTGGAGGCAGGTCTACATATAAGAAAAGTCCTACTTTTGGGAAATGAAAACGTCATAATATAAGTTGAGCTGAACTTGCTTCTATAAAGTAATTGTTACCTAATTTCTTTTTAATGTGGTTTGCCTTCACTACTAATGTGGAACTTAAAAATTTATGTCACTGTTCTCTAAGGTAAGAGATGGCCCAGACGTAAGAACTCAGGAGAGCCAATCCTTGCACCTGGCAACTCTGTAGACACAATGACCAGGTTGATGACGGTCTAGGAGAAAAATGCCTTTTCGATCTTTGCTGCCAACACCCCCAGGGTGCATGTGTTTGGAATCTTAGCAGAGGTGGAAATGGAGTCACCACTCCACAGAGACAAACATGGTGTGAGGGGTGGAGAGGAATTTAGTCAACAGGAAAAGGGGTGTTTTCTATTGAAGGCTGTGGAGGGCAATGGAAAAACCACAGGAGTCAGCCAGACAGACCAGTCATGAAAAAAGCAGGGACAAGTGCAGAGGGCCTTCTCTGAAACTCAATTACTAGTCACATGGCCCTGAGGAAGTTATTTCACTTTTCTGAATTCCCATTTCCTCTCCCATAAAATGGAAATCCTCAACAGGAATGAATGTATCATGAGTTAAAATTCCTGCCTTTAGTTATGCCTTTTCTACTTACTCACTGTGTGATCCTGAATAAGTTACTTGGATCTTGAATGTTCTCCTCTATAAAATGGACATACTAATTTCCTCTCTTCTACCTCAAAAAATCAATGTGAGGATTATATGGGACTATGGGGGGAAAGGACACTGTCATTTCTGGAAATCATGATCTGCATGTAAAATACCGTTATGAGAGAATGCACAGCAGTTCTGAGTTGATGTAGATCACTGGAAATTAATACTCTATCACTCTATGGTCTGTCAGGGACCATAAAAGGCGGGCCATATAAGATAATTCTATAAGATGTAGAGCTTTAGAAGGCCTGAACATTAATGAGGACAGGTGGAGTGCCACCTTCACCCAGGCTGCATACAACATGCAACACCCACCGAAAGAGGACAAACCAACAAAGAAAGCTGAGGCACCGTGGGGGTCTGGGGCATGCAGCTGGTGTCAGACCTGGGCTTGTTAGTGACCGACCGGTCCACAAGGATGTCAGCACAGAAAATGGGAAAAACTGTGAAAACACTCTTATAGAAATTTTACATAGCTGTGACATCCAAATATGTGATCAATAGGCTTTATTTTAAAAGATTATTTTCTCTATTAATTTATTTTACTGCATTCTGCAAAAGTGTTAGTTCCTGATACTTTAGGGGGGGAAATTGTACCTACAGCATAGACTGCAATCTCATTTGAGAAATGTAGCCTAGACTGTTGCTAGGTCAGAGTCGCCTTCACTGAACACTCTCAGGCATCAAAACTCGGAAGTTTTTGAATCAGTCACCTTAACTTTGATTATGACTCTTTCTTATCAGTCATGTGATAGGTCATTTCACTTTTCTGATTCTCTTTCTTTCTTTGTTGACTTGGGCCAAGTCTGTCAATCTTAAAGGCTGTAGTAAGGATGGCAACATACAAAACTAGGTGTTCAATTAATGGCAGTTACTGTTATTATTGATCCAAGGGTCAGAACTCCTGGAGAAAAAGATCTCTGCGATGGAGACAAGTCCTCTGCCTGTTCCAGGGACATTAGGTGCTGGAGACAAGGACTGTTGTTTACCACAGGATTGTACTCTGTCACCAAGCGGAGACTGTTGATCTCAATGAAACGGCTTAATTTGGTGGCATCAATGCTTTCAGGGGCTTCACTCTCAAAATCCAGTTGTTCGTTATCCACCTGGGCAACACAAAAAGGATAAAATTGTCACTGTTCTGTCTTCATTCATTCCTTCATAAATGTTCCTGGACCATCTACCACATATCAGCAGATAATGCTCGCTTCCCTCGAGGAACACACTGTCCCGTGGAATATAGAGAAGTGAGCAGAAATGATCCACAGACCATGGCAAGTGCCATCACAGGAAAATCACAGGCCCATATGTCATCGGAGGAAGAGCAGAAAAGCTTTCAGGAAGAGATAGTAGCTTCTGTAGAAGCCTAAAGTTGTATCCATAAATTTTATATGTATATCTTCTTATCATTCAGTTCAAAATGTTTTTAATTTTTGTTTTTATTTCTCCTCTAAACTATTGGTTATGTAGAAGTATTTCTTAATTTTAGAGTAAGATTTTCTGGTTATTGATTTCAAGCTTACTTTCTACATTTCATATCTTTTGTCAACTTCTATATATGGTGTATGTGTCCTTAAAATTATTTATATTCTACAGTTTTGGAATGCAATAGTCTGTATGTGCACATGAGGTCACATGAGTAATGTTATAGTTCAATTTTTCTATGTTATTGATTTTTCTTTTAGCTAGCTGATTCTATCAAGAGAGCAGTGTTATAGTCTCCCACTATGATTGTGGGTTTAACCATTTTTCTTAAAATTCTGCTAGTTATTCTACTTATATATATTCAGACTATGTATTAGATAAATGCATATTAATTGGCAGTTTTAACCCTCTTCTTGGACAATATAGACATTAGAACATTCTAATACAGTTTACCTCCTTCCAACTTCATTTCCTGACCCACACGCAAGACTTACAGGAGATTATCGTTGTGTGTTTTAATTCTAAATCTCACAAGACATTATTATCATTGTTAAATATTCAGTATATATTTACATTCATGCCCATATTTATATATTAGGTTTTATTTTCATTTTTTTCTGCATTTTGAGCTTCTATCTGAGATTTTTTTCCTCCCTCTGCCTATAGGTATTTCCTTTAGCATAAGTTAATTCTCTTGGGTGACATATTCTCTCAGTTTGGTTGTTTCAAATATCTTTATTTCACCTTTGTTTTTTAAGGCCATTTTGCTGAGGGTAGAATTCTAAGTTGACAGTTATTCTTCTTTCAGTTTTTGCAAGATATAATTCTTTATATTCTGCATTCCAGTCTTTCTATTGAGAAGTCATCTGTGAACCTTAGTATTATCCCTTTGAGATTACTTTGAGGGTAATCTCTTTTCTCTGATTTAAGAGTTTTCTCTTTTTTTTTTTTTGAGTTTCAGCTATTATACTACGGTATGACTAAGAGTGGATTATATATGTGATTTTATGTATAACTATATGTATATGTATATGTATAATTATATATGTGTGCAAGTGTGTATATTATACACGTATATTCGTATATAATAATCCTAATTCAATTTCAGGAACTGCTGTCACTTGAATCTGTGCTGTAGCCTTTGGTGGGAGGGGCTAACCTATTTCTGGTTCATCCTTCTTTTTAGGGCATTGCTCTTTAGGGTCTAAAATGGAGCAAAAGGTATTTTACTAGATTTACCTTCTACTTCCCTCTTCTGGGCCCTGGGCTTCAGCATCTACTTTTCTGGCTCTTGGAGGGTCTCAAAGGTGCTAATAAACCTCTCAGCCTCTTGGCTGCTGCTTCTAGAATTCACAAAAGCTTCCCAGATGAAAAGTACTCCCAATACAGGCTTTCGCGTGTGGGTTTCTGTCTTCTAGATCTTAGTCTAAACACATTTCCCTCTCTTATTAATTCTTTAAATCTCCCGTTTTTTGGACCAACTTTAAAAAAAAATTTGTCTCTGGTGGAAAGGATTGTCTAGTTACCTAGTCTATTATCCCAGATTTGCATTTTAGAACTACCTTTCCACCACACTCAGATATATTAAAACATTGGGCTTCCTATGGCCAATCGTTGTTTCCAGAGTTTCCCATTCCCCTTCCCCAGTCTACTCATGCCCATAAAGACACAGGATGATGCTCCCATCACCCATAGCAACTATGCTTACAGATAAAATGATCAGGGATAGGTCCTGAAAAATTCTGTTTCCTAAAATAGTTTGGGTCATCACTTTTGAGATCCTTGGGCCACCAACCCTTGGACACCTCTTTAACCTCTTTCCCTTATATCTGCTATGTTAGATGGGTCCTACCCAATCAGATCTTGCCATGGATCAGAACCATTTTTTACCCCCAAGGTACTTTCTCCCCGCCTAGCCAGCAAAGTCAGAGGTAAATATCACTTTAGTTTATGCATGAGGAAATTCAGGCAAAGGTAAATTAAAGTTGCTAAACAGCAGGAGTCCGAGATTGTTCTTTATTGTTATCCATAGGATGACTACAACTGCCTGTTTTTCACTTCTTTTGTTGAAGATGGTCTCCCACTGGTTTATTTAAAAGCAAAATGAAGAAGTTCGATGCACTCTTCATGGTTAATTTTATTAATTTCCTGTATATCCAGTCATTCTCTTATAATCCATTTGTTTATGAATTATTTACTGAACAGCTTCTATATGTTACCCACTGAGGCACAGATGTGCTGACAGTCACTCAGATGGCGATTTAATTACTTTATTTTATGACTTTTTTTTGCAACTCGAATTTATGAAATTAATAAATGCTGAGGTACAGGAAATGTTTGTATTTCAAAAAAAGAATTTTGAAAAAAATTCATCAAAACCACAGGATATTTAAAACAGTGGACTCCCTTTGTATATATAATTGTTCTAAAATTCACAAAGTTTTGAGTAGAAAGCTTGGGACAGAAATATGAAAGCAAGAGAAAAAAATTTTCTTAGGTAGAGTCTTTGCTCGCCCAACCATCCTCCCCGCCATGTCAATAAGAGTGAGGAGAGAAATAAAGCACACAGACAGACCTTAGCTGCTGCTTAAGGCTGGGGTTGCCAGCTGGCATATCTCCTTCCTACTTAAGGGTTTACTAATTGCAACCATCAAAATCATCAGTATTACAATCACAATCAAGGCCTTTTTAATATTTAATGTGTCTGAACACTTCCTGATTATTTTTCTAGGAGCTCACAAGCCTGGCTGTGCCTCAGCTGACCTAGCTACGCTGTGGGCCAGGAGCCCCCTCCCTCTGGCTGCCTTTTCCAGGCAGCCCCTCATTTCCCAGAACAGGGAGAACAGGAAACGCCAGTTACTTCAGGTGTTTCTGGACTTAAGGAATGCAGCCTTTTGGAGGTGGATGATGTTCAGTGGTGATAACATTCTCCAAGAAGCAAAGAGCTTTAATAAAAACCACCCTCCTGAAGTCTGTCCAGTCTGTACGGCTTCTTTTAACGATAGATGCCTGATTATTTCACTATTTCTTAAACTAATAAACTCTGGAACATTCATGTGTAGGGTTCCTGGAAACAACATCTGAACAGGAAATCTCCCTCCTGTAAAGGGAATTATTTGGATAATGTATTGGGAAGAAAATCTGACCCTAGAACCAAGAGTTGGGAAAAAAATTTTTAATATATTTTTCTAGTTTTTGGAAAGAATTTTACTGCAGATATATTCTTTTTCTCTCCAATTAAAGAGGCACCAAAAGAAAAATGTAAACAGTAAACCAGAAGGATTGCCACCTTAAAATAGAATTTTGAAGTTCCCTAAGAGTATCTGAAGTGAATTAGTTATGTTTTTGACACTACTTCTATCATACCGATAGATTTAATCACTCCTTTTCTGTTAATTAATATTTCAGCAATATTCTTTTTTAAAATTGTTTATATATATATATATATATTTTTTTTTTTTAAAGATTTTTTTATTGGGGAATTGGGGGGATGGGAACAACGCTGGGGAATTGGGGGAAGGGGAACAGACAAGTTGCTGTTGTTTTGTTCTTCAGTCTAGTTGTGGAAGACATTGCTTCACTGGCCCAAGTTGGCACCATTATTGCCCTCTTCCCGGGTGAGCCAGATCAATCACCGGCTTCTGGACGGCCGCTCACTGCGGCTGCTGGCCACTCACGCTGGCTGCTGGCTACATACGTAGCCCATGGCAACCCACTGCCACAGGGGCTGCAGCTCACGCCGTCGCCGGCAAATCACAGCAGCCCAGCTCCAGGTTGAGCTGTTGTTCAGCATCTTAGCTGTAGAGGGCAGTGTCACTGGCCCTCATATGTGTGATCCGAACCAGGGCCCTCTGGCATCCCAAGCCAGCTCTTAACCAACACGCCACTCGGCCGGCCCAGCAATATTCTTTTGAATTCCTATGTGTTTCTCTCATTAACAACCCAACTTTTCACAAAATTTATTAAAATCATCTTGATTGATACCACAGTTATAGTATTAAATATTTTGGATGGCACTGAGAATTCATTTGTTAAAAAAAGTGCCCTCAGGGCTGGCCGAGTGGCACGTTGGTTAAGAGCTTGCTTGGGACACCAGCTCTGAGCAGCAGGGCTCCGGTTCAGATCCCACATGGGCCAGTGACGCTGCGCCCTCTACAGCTGGTGATGATGGTGAACAACAGCTCAACCTGGAGCTGGGCTGCTGTGAGTCGCCAGCGATGACATAGGCTGCAGTGAAGCTGCAGTGGGCTGCCATGAGCTACCATGAGTGGCTGGCAGCTGACGTGAGCAGCCGACAGCCAGCATGAGCTGCCAAGAGCCGCCGCGAGCGGCCATCCAATGGCCGGTGACCAATCTGCCTCAGCCGGGAAGAGTGCAATGATAATACCAACATGGGCCAGTGAAGCGACGTTCTCCACAACTTGACTGAAGAACAAAAAGGACAGTAATTTGTCTGTCCCCCTTACTGGATCCCCCAACGCTGTTCCCCTCCCCCAGTTCCCCAATTAAAAAAAAAAAGTTCCCTCATGTCCCTGGGCTTGTTTTTATAAGCTGTTAGCTTACCATATATTTGGTAAATATGTACTTTAAAAAATATTTAATAATTTGACATAGCTTACTTTTTGCGTTTCCTATCAATTTATTTTTATGCACTAGTTCCTGCTGATTCTCTTTGTTTGGC